AATTTGCGGCCCAACATTTGGATTTTTTCAGTTTAAACTCTGAGGCTGCCTTCAGAGCATGACTGCTCCTTGTACTTAGAAACTGCCTGCAGAACAAAAGGTCTCTCTGTGCTGTTTGATTTCTGTTGATAAGTAACCCAAAAGCTTCTGTGCTACAAGCCTGAACTGGAACTTGGATGTTGACAAATGCCTAATCGTATGTTACCCACCTTTCTTGTATTGTAGCCCTACTTGCTGACCACTAAGTAAGCCGACTGTTGAAAAGTCCAGGTGTCCCCACCAATCAGAAAATGAATAATGTAAGTTTGTGATCTGGTTTCTTAGCAACCCATTGCTCTCATCAGCTTCTTCAATTTTTGCCTTTAAAAACCTAGCCCTATCTCCTCCATTTTGGAACATGTCTTTGGTTCATACCGAGAGCTACTTCCCGATTAACAAATCATATATGAATAAAACTCTCTTTTAATTTCTTTTGGTGAGAGAGGAGAGGATGCATCTAAAAAATGCATCTGACTCAGCTAGGGAAAGCCCACTCCTAACTGCCCTCTCTCCTTCCAGGACCCTCCAGCTAACATGTTTTCCCATAGCTACCTCCCCCACCTCAAGGACTCTCCAGCTCACATCTGTTGATTCATAGCTTGCTATCCAACTAATATTCTTATCTCTGTAGCTGTGTAGGAATAACAAAGCTGTGTAAAACTGCTTGTTATGTTACAGTTGGGGCTCAGCCTTTAGATAGGAATCCGCCGAGCAGGTGTTGGCATTAATAAGTGCTACTTTCTGCTTATAGCCTCGGTGTCCCGTCTCTCTGTTTGAGAATCTTATAATGGTGCTGAAAATGCCAAGGTTGCCGGTTCTACAAAACAAACGACCTGTAAGACCAGTGGTCTAGAAATTCCTCCCTCTTACAGCCCCCACCTGAAGCTCCCCCTCCCATCCTGAGTCATGAGGCACACGTGAAACCTCAGACAAAAGAATCATGCGCCCTTTGCATGGACACTGCAGAGGTATATATGCTGTAATAAATCTAACCAAAGCGAGCTCATGCATAGTGTTGTTAACTCCATGCGCTCTACCGGCCAATAAATTCTCCTTCCTCTAACAACGTTGTCTGAGCGTCCAAATTCCTCTGTTGGGTGTCGCTTCCTGCAACACTGGAATTATCTGAAGTGTTAAAGAGAAAACCACAGGCCCCAAATGGCATCACATTTGTTAAAGCCCATGATACTAAACCTAGATGTAATACCTGACATAACTGCTGTTTCAGTTTTTCCTAGAAATATAACCTTAATTGATCTGTCTGGAATGTTCTGGTCAAGCACCAGTAAGATAATCTATCACATGGGCCCTCTCCATCTTTCATAGAAAGAAGAGGCAATCTGTGTAATAAAATTCTTGTCATTCCCTTCTCCCCAAAAGAAGAGGTCCTGGTCCAAAAATACTACTTTCTTTTCTTTTGTTGATAGTTCCCTTGCCCACCCTTCTTCCGATAAAAACCATCCATTTTGTATAACCCCTTAGAGGGCCCTTCTAGTTGCTAGCTGGGATGCTGCCAGATTCATGAATCACTTAATAAAGCCACTTTGATCAAATTCACTCAGTTGAATTTTGTTTTCAAACAGAAGAAACCATCATCTACTTCATCATTCTTTTACCTCACACAAGAGAGAGAGCAAGGTGGGTATTAAGGTGGGTATTAAATAGGGGTTGGGGTAGGCCTTTTTGAGAATGTGATGTTTTGAGTTAATACTTGATATGCAGCTGTGTGGGGGAAGACTATTTCAGGGAGAGGAAACATTTAGCACTAAAGTCTTAGGGGAAGAGGTTGCCTGGTGTGTTCACGGAAAGTAAGGAGGCCGGTGTCAATGAAGCCGTGAGTGAGAGGAAGTGTTATGGAGT